ATAAGGTTTATAAATGCTACCGACCGCGTCCAGATGATTGCCCTAAAGTCATTAAGGTATGAACGTACACTAAGCCTATTTGTTGTATTCTAATATCTCCATTTACTTACATACGATTTGCTTTCCGCATTACTACTCAATAACGGCTAATCCAAGCAAATCCAGCACGAATTTTATAACTTTGTTTATCCTGCATTTATGTTGGTTATGCAGCTCGAAGGCCTTTAAAGGAAGCATCGTTCTGGTTGTATCTCATCCACAATGTAGTACAAATAAAAAGCTATCATACAGAAGAAAGCGATGTGGTTGTCGGAATAAGAAAATCGTCAGCCATGTCTCACCAGATTGACAGTACTACCGTAATATATTAGTACATATGACACAATTGTAGTTCGATCGACGTTTGCCGCTGAGGTCACGCATGGTAAATACTTAAAGAGATATATTCTATATGCCGCTACCTCCAAAAATCGACCTTTCTTGTTCTCGTGCCAAAAACCGACTTAAGTCCCACATTTGGCGTAGAAGTTCGGCCCCTATAAATCGATACATGTATATATATATATATTAGAATAAAGGGAAAAACACTATCGTAGACATGAAAAGCGCACTCCATTAGATTTCTCCAGTTCTCCTACGACCGCCTTGAGCCACTTTTAAAGAGGGACAACTGTGAAATGTATCTACACATCTTATTTACAGAATCCTGAGTGCAAGCTAACTTGTGGAATCCTGACTGTATGCTGAGTTGCTTAAACAAAAACGGCTATTGCTTTTTGGACATGTTAATAGCTATAGACGATGGTAGAGAACCGACAAAAGAAACGAATACTGTTTACTGCTGTGGCTGCAGGTTTTCAATGGTTTTCTGTTTGTTTACAACTGCGTCGGCAGGAGTAGTGGCAGGGAATCTGTGGATGTACGCTTGGCCTATCGAGAGCTTTTAGTGTTGTTCTATGCGGTATAAGGGTGGTAGTCTACCAATGGTCATTTGGTAAACACCTAACAACTGCGATGAATCGCTTCCAGGGAATGCTGTTGTTCGAAGATGCTTTTCCATATATATATATATATATATAAAGGGCGAGAGAGAGAGAGCTTTATGCTTTTAAACATCTTTGTACTTCTACGTAAACCTAACACTCGTTAATACAGTCATTGATTTTTCCTGCACGTTAATTTTTTGATTTTTTGTTAATAAACAACATTGTTTGTTCATTAGGTGCTCCGCTTGAATTCGATTGCCCTTCACACGTACGACTATCGAATACGTGGCCATTTGAACGGCTCGTTGCTTTACTAAGGAACAAAGAGCTTAGCTCTTTGTTCCTTAGTAAACAAAACTATTTCATTTCCTAGATTGATACAAGAATTTTATTTATATGCCTTTTAATAAGGAAACACTAATCTAAGGTTATATTCATTTTGTACCCTTTGACGTTTTTATTTTGACGTTATGTTATATGATTGGGCGTTACACGTACTGATAGAATACACGGTCATATGTAATCACTGCGAGCATACATACAGTATTCGCTTGTTTCCCTAGTAGTTCAATAGCCAAGATGGAAAGCCATAATTGCAAATGTATAGGCAATTAAAATCTCATGATCTCAAAAATGCCTCTATTTTTTGAATTGAATGATTACTTTGAACTTTAGGTCGTTTTTTTTGAGCTTTCTCCTTTATTAGACATATAGTATTAAAAGATTAGAGCTTATTATTATTTGCCAACTTCTGCTTGGAGGGCTACTAAGGTTACGTTTTGATAACTGTCTTCCTACATAAACTGTTTAATCTATGAGTTTATATAAAACTAAATCTTGCTTTGCAGAAGCCGAAGGGACAACAAGTTGAGTCTGAACATCCACTGTTTTTCTAGCTAGAAATCTATGATAGCTTAAGATCTTCGTGTGGGCACAGCTGTTTAGATATATATATGATTTATATACAATTAAGCTTAAAAACTGATTGCTTTGAATTTAACAGTCCACATGCTTCGTAGAACATTTTGCTACCGTCATCTTCTGAGCCAGGCGTATTGCAGGCCAGTTCCACAATGTGGTGCACCTACGTGCACATCAGATACGAGACACGGCATCGTAGCAGAATCTTTGTGCATAGTCTTAGTTCACAGGCTGCAAGCAGAAATAACAGCTGATGACAGAGGAATTGATGTAAAGTCGCTGATGAAAAAAATCGCGTGTATAACCGATTTGTAGTCCTTGATATGAGCACGCTGCTTTTTCCAGTCACGTCCTTCCTTGAAGGGCTGACCCGTTCATAAAAAAAGTTGTGTTTGAGCACAGTATAACCAACACTGAGTTGTTAATCCTTTCCTCACAGATAGCACGCTATCATAGGTTTTTATAACATAGTTAAACACATCGATACGAGTTTTAGCGCTAGTGAATAAGAACATTGTTACCACTGTATTATTGAAAACCCAGTAGCGCTGACTATAGCCACATAAGGCTGACATAAAATAGCACCATAGCAGAACATAAATTGGGCCTGTGCAAACAGATGGCCCAGGCCCTCACAGTCATGAGTCTATGTTGCTTGATAACCATGCGTCTTATTGCTGCTTCACCAGCTATGATCCGTTCGACTTTCCACGGACTCACAGCAGAAATGACCTACTACGCGATAGATTGAAATACGGCAGATAGAAGACGGGTACTCATATCTTTAGTTGTAGATAGAGTGGCGACATGTTGCATCAGACGAACATTCAGCGGTCGAAATCCTCTGTTTACCAATAGCTACGCTAATCCATTATAGTCGGGCCACTTGCCGGTATTGTTTCGCTAGTCGAAAATGCCCTCGTCGTACAAGTCGATACCTTTGTGTAACGTATGAGGATCTACTAGGCATTATCCGTGCTACTGGTACTTGCAGCCTATTTAAATCGAGAGACAATTTTCGAGCATTGGTTTTTTATGAAAAAATAAATTCAGGGAAACTGTGAAGGCTATTCAGCATATGACCTGTGACTATTAAGGCTGCAGTTTGGCGGAGAAATGCCTAAGAATGACCGTTTGGCAAATTACGTTAAAAGCCCGTTAAAATAATAATCAGCAGAAAAAATAATCTGCTTTGTGTGTAGTCCGTAGATTTTAGACAACAGTGTAGAACACGACCATTCAGAGATCAAGGCTAAATGTTTCAATAAGCCTACTTGGTTTATATTGGTTCACTTAGATTTTTGCAGAATCCATGTCGCTTGCCGACAGCATAAAAAGCTTCCAAACGCTTCCAAAAGCATCAATGTGCCCTCAATCGACAGAGCCTAGCTTGGATTGAAGCTTGCTATATATGAATTTCCAATAATTTCATGTTCTATTCAGTATGATATGATCCTAGATATGGTATTACCTTTAATACGTACTAGGACCTGCATAAGGGGTTGCTAAAACAGCATCGGTTGACAGGACAGTTCGGGCCTGATGTCCTCTGATTAAACAAATTATCGCAGTTCGGATCACCTGATTAGCACTGGGCAAAAGCATAGTAGAAATAAAAGTGTTAACGATATTCTATTCTACAAGAACAAACCCAACTGAGAAATTGTTACGTTAGAAATTGTAAACGAATGTCTAATTTAAAGCATCGATGGAACGGAGTTCAATTGCGTTATTTCTACTTTTTATTAACTTTAGTCAATTATCACTTCTTATTCGACCTCTCTGTGGCTCGCGATGCAACACTCTTGACAAGAGCGGGGAACGGTCACATCCTTGGTCATGTTCACACAGTTCTAAGTCCTAGTGACTTATTTTGGCGGATTTGTCGTCACTGCTCTTCCTCCCGTTATATTAAACTAATTGTCCTTTCAACTTTCATTTTTTTCGGCGCGTATTGCCTATTACTGGCCTGTCGGTCTGCATCCTTGAGTCCGCCTATACGCCTAGACGAAGGCTGGTACTGGCGAAGACATTAGCGGGATCGTCTTCAACAGCGTAAAACCGCATCCTTGAAAAATATGTGCCAAGCCACTAGTGTGTTGTTTGCTATCGAAAAAATAGACCGAATCACATGAAGCTGAGAAAAATAACCCTGTCATTCAACAAAGGATCGACACGATTCAGACGCTATTCCACTTTTTAGAAAATCTGCTGCTATTGCTTTTCTAGGCTTTGCGTGCACTGAGTGTGAGACGCTTGTACAGCCTCGAATAGATGGAATGCCATCAAAAAGTTCCCTCAGGACTCTTCCTTGTTGAGGGAAGCATTGTAGCAAATATGTGCCTGACATCCGCCCCTGTTCAAAAGAATGTGGCGAACGATATCGGCGTTTTAACATAACTTTAACAACTGAAGACTCGGTTATGAGTATGTCAATATGTTAGCGAAGACAGCGACAATTTAAGCTGTACCAAAGACACCCCATGTCGGTCGATCTGTGTATTATGTGTAGCGTTTCGAGTAGCGTCGTAAGCTGCGAATGCTTTGTTATCTGACAAATTGTATCAAATAAGATATAAGAAATTAGAAATAACTATAATAAATAAACTATAAATAATAATAAACGTTCAATACTTGCAACAGGCACACGTATACAACGCTGGATGAAGTTGAATCCCGTTAGCATGTTACGCCCCCTTCTTTTCCTTCAAAAACCAAACCACATAACGATACGAACTGTTCTATCGCAAAAAAGAAACACAAGAACGACTTATTAAAATGACACTTAATTGTTCTCGCTAAAGTTCGATGCTATGCAAACATTAAATCACTGATGGGTAGCATAAGCTCTTTATCGGGTGGTTAGAAAGTAAACATTCAATATAAGATCTGATAGGTTTGGCTGGGCTTCAGATGGCGGACTAAAGCACGTAAAGGCATCAAGGACCAAGAACGTGTCACGCAACGATCGTGCTTGTAGACAGGCTATAGTGAGTAAATATGCACAATTTACCATCCATGCTGTTAAAAAATGTTACATGCTTAGTAAACTAAAACTGCGTAAATTCAATTGTCGGCCGGAGACAGGTGGCGCCAGATGCACTTCAAGTAGGTTTCTATACGGGTTCAACCAGTGCCTAATTTTCGGCAGAGAGAGACGAAGAGGGGAAGAGACCGTGAAATCCACAATGTAGCCGTTACAAATCGTCGAAAGGACCGTTTTGTGTCGATCAAGTATGGGGATACTCTGTTGTTTAACGTAAATCTAGATATGAATGATACGGCATAGATAACATCAAACCTGCCAACACTAAGCCCTCGAGGGACCTAGTTCTAGCAAATCAATCGAATCCATAAGTCTTACAGTGTCACGTGACCATATTCCTACCAGAGATTTATAAACGTTGTAAATGTGAACGGCTTCATAGTCAAGCGATGCAATTAATGACACTGAAGCCGCGCTTGACTACGTTAACCGAAAACCTCATCAAGCTGCTCACGAAAGAATTTTTTACATCCGGAAGAAACACATTTGTTTAGCGGATTTTCATACTCCCATACTTCCGTACAACAATATTTTTATCATAGCCGACATCCGAACCGGGTCTGTGCGAAAGTCCGCTTTTGAAAAAGCGAGCAGATATCCTTATGCACTGGCTTTTTCAGTTTAAGTTAAGACATTACGATAATCTTCTCTAGCTGCTTGTGCACTGATCGACATTTGGCCATTGGTGGATTGCTATTAAAAAAGGTATCTAAATCATTTTATGCTAAAGGTCTAGAAACAACAAAGATGTAGCAGCTTTCAGGGTCTGTCGTGTATTGCCCGCTTAACGACCTTGCTCCTACCACACGCGTTGCAATTTGTACAAATTGAGGCCCGGTAAGTTTTACAGCATTACAACGGATCGACAGACTAATAAGTTAGGGTTTCAGGTTCATGAAGAAGCAATGTAAAGGCTAAGCCTGCCAGATTCTCACAGATGTGCACTCTAAGCAGGTGCATAAATTATCAAAGTAGATTTGGTAACGCTATGGTTCTACTTTAATCGGCGAGCCAGAAGAAATTTTCGCTAATTTAAGAAATCCATTAACGAAGGTAATAGCTGAGGTATTAATCAATGTTTAGCATTGAACGCTTAATAGACAGTCCGTTCTTTGCGCTGACAAATGTGGGCTATAAATACTTTATTGGTACAGAATGTAAATGGCGGATTTTTACTTATTAACTAGTTATGAAAGTGCGTCATATCGGCGTACAGCACAAAGCCGCTGCCTTGTGAAAAAAGCCTTCCTTGAACGAAATATTAAAAAAGACCTTCATATTATTAAAAAAGATCCCCTTCCGATTTTATGAAGCATCATTGCATGATCTTGCTTAGTTGGAAAGATGTGACAATGGAAGATGCACATGGGGCACGGCCGGTTTTATTAGCACCTCAGATGCAGGTTAGATTGCTAGTTAAGGAGGAGGGGCGAAGGCCGAATACGTAAAACTTTTTTTTGTTCTTATGCTCGCATAAAGGCGCAGCGGATCATTTATTTATTTATATATTATTTATATTATTTACCTACACCTAGTCGGCAAGGCTAATAACAATGCACACTAACCTAATATTTAATAAATGTCTATACCTGTATAGCCTATATAAGGTGTTTCTCGCAGCCATAAGTCCCTTGTGGAGCAACCACGTTTATAGCACGGTAAAAAGGATGCATTTGAAAGAACGCTGATCTGCTCACATGACGTTGAGATCCCAACTAATTCTGTATATGCGGTATGGGTCGCTCCGAGACATACATTCAAAGATGCTACCTTAGCTCTTGGATGGCTGTGCGAATTTACCTAGTACCTGCCTGTTTATCTGCATTATGCTGCTACCCCACTTACCTTTACGTTAGATTTTATCGCCAGCATTTCGTACGTTTGGAGCTGAGTCCATTATTGGCAATGATTATTGGCAAGACGTTCTGCGTCAGCTCTAGCTCTGTATGGTTGTCCGTGCTAGTAGTAGTCAATGCTGGGTCTATAAGTAGACGATATCTAGACCTTCTCACATAGAGTGAAATTTATATTCCGCTCGATCGGGCGCTTTCGGTCACACTAATACCCCCCGTACAGACAAACGGACAGGTGCCGATCCATAAGTTAGCCTTTTAGCCGTTACCTGTATCGGCTTGAGTATATATCCGGCTGTAGTCCGCTAGAGTGGACCATCTTCGTAGATTAACACGTTACATATTGCGCTCCCGGGACACACTTTAGCTAATCATAACCGATCCCGATGAGCTTATGGAAGAGCAGCATTCATCTGAACCCCGCGCGAATCATTTGCCGCAATGGAGCCTGCGCGACTATATATGGATTGCCTTGCTTACGTTTATTACGCTTAGGGGAGGGGTATCCATGCGTGGTTCCGCAGGGCGGTGCTTATCTAAAGGTCCAATCTTTCGTTGTCTAGACATTCGATGCTGAACAATGACTCCGCAGAGGAAATACGCTAAAAAACTTTTCCTCCGTAGCGTGTCTATCATTCAGTTCCACATTTACAACTTGCTAGGAAGTTCCGTTTGGCCCTCATCTAGCATGATCGGCCGCTAACGGTGACCGGGTTAGCTACAGTCGGACAGGTCGGGCCTTGAGAAAAAGTTTCTCAAAAAGTTGAACTACAGATTTTCTAGGAAGTGCCCTTATAGAGCTAGTGAAATGGTGAGCAGATTCGCGTGGTAATTTTCATCTCGGTGGATGGATTGTCGGCGGTTGAGAAAAATTTCTTTGGTAGCTTTTTTATTGCTTCATAATTGAATTAAGTTAGGTACACTCTAGCTACGTGTGTGTTAAATATTGGTGATCCAATTAAATGACTTTTAAAAGTTAAGTGATCTTTGGGGGTTTCGTGCGCAGTTATGCTGGAAAATATTTTATCGTTATTCTCTGATGTAGGCTAATCAATGAAAAAAAGGAATATAATAATAATTTTATAAGGTAAATATCATTGTCAGTAAACGTCACTCTGAAAGAAAAGGCAACCATTGTTACCCTATGTTTGATGAGGAGGTGACAGGAGATGTCTATTCTACGCAAAGTCATACTCAAAATCTGATAGATTATATAGAGGTAGATATATATAATTTCACCCATATATCATATGATCATTCATATAACAGCTATCGATTATTCGATGCTAGGATTTTCTTCGCTTTACAAAGGTCGTACAGATCTGTCCTTTCTTTTTTTAGGCGTTTCTAGTTAATTTGCAAAGTAGCAAACTTTGCAGTTTCTTATTCAACTGTGGCAATACCGCCGGCATCGATTTGTCGTGTCAATATAATTGTGATTGACAACACGATCGTATACGCAGACGAACTAAAGACTACACTTTAGTGGATTGAGGGACTCCTACCAAATGCTGCGTCTGCAATTGGTTCAACGAGTAGAAGATTCGTTTTTGTCTGGCTCTGGAACTGGCGAAGGACTCGGGTCTGCTATTTGCTAAAAGTAAGATAGAGCGACCAAATGCGCACACACAATAACACTTACTTGATCTATCAGTTTAAGTAACACCGAAGTCAGCACGTTCAAAAAGCCATATATATATATATATATATATATGTATTACTTTGTTTAGCACTGATCACTTGGAGTACTGCTGCAGTTCTGAATGATCAAACCAGCTTGCGTGGCAGAATAGCGCCAGCTGAATGATGGTCGCTATCTGCGACCTATCAATCACAACAGTGTTTGACAGCGATCTCTTTTCGTCGGCAAAAGAGGCGACAGAAAATACAGGCAGCGTGTTGTTTAGAGGACAGTACCGATTTGGACGATATTCCTCAATGCCTGCACAGAGGAAACCACTTTCGACGCAGGCATGTAAGTGTACTATAAATAGCGACTAAAAAGTAGATTGTTAGTCTGTTAGATAGATGGCCAGCTGCTTCCAGTGTCCTAGGCACATTATAGCACTAACCATAGGCGTATATCAGGTTCACCTTTCGAGTCGACTTGCCAGATGCGCTCATATACCGTAGAAATGTTCGATAAAAACCTTCTGCTAGATAATCTGCTTCTATTATAGTGAGAAAAAAGTGCCTCTCGTATCGTTAAATAGCTGATTTGAATCAACATGTTGATGGCACTTTGGAACAAACTGGGATCCGTCCCAGAATTAGTTTCAAAGAAGCCCAATTTTGATTAGCGTTAACCGGTCTATTCTCGTGATCGACAGGCTTTTCGACAAGGTGTCATTTGGGCTATTTGACCTAACTGTTTAACGAACTTCACGGAACTTGGACGACTACTATGGAGCTGTTCGCATCGCACCAGACTTCAGTGCATCAATTATTGGATTTTTCCTATAAATAGGCCGTTAGAGAAATTTTTCGATGTAAAAGTGTTACAATTGCACTTCTATTCTAGGGAAGCATATCTGTTAGGTTAGAAATAAGTTAATTTTATATTCGGTTGGATAATCAGTGTTTATCACATGGTGAAGGTGGCAATGAACTATTCGGTAAAGGTAACTGAATGGGCAATGTATTTGGGGTAGTACGACGAAGAAATTCCCATGTAGACAGATTATAGGCCCAACGCCGTAATGTGTTGAGGCCCATATTAGGCTGATCTATTGAATACAGCTATATTTTGCTCGACAGACCTAACCGGACGAGGCAAATGGCTTAACCTTTGCTCCTACCAATCAGATTGTGATTAGCTGGTGTGACATTCTACGGGAGCTACCGAGCTGGTGTTAATTCCATACCATTTCACTTTACCCTTGTTTTATATTTAGTCGCTTTTAGTCACTACGCCACGCACATACACACAAGTATACAGATTAAGGACGATTAGAAGGTCCAACGCGAAAGGTCCCATTAGACTGCACTAAGGTGGCATGTCAACTGGTGACTCAGCAGTTATTTCAGATCTGTCCGTGATTTTGCTACTAGTGCAGCTTTTTCCTCTGGTGTCGCTGATAGAGAATAAATGACGCGATATTCCTCTGATCAGCTGCAGGGCCTTTACTGATAACCTTTCGAGGCCAAATTTTACTAGGTGTACAGTAGATGATTACTTCATAATTAAGCGCTTAATATTTTTTTCTTGTGGGCTGAGTGTTCTAATCTAGCATGAAGGAAAAGAAAGCTTCATCATCAAGTAAATACGTGCATTTTCATATTCATTAACTTTCAGAAATTCATAGCATTAATGAAAATAAGAATAATCACAACGAGAGGAAGCATAGCGAGGGCAAACGATGGTGATGATCGACACGATGGGAACCTCTCTTCTAATGCTCATATCTTAATACAGTACATATGCAAATAAAGAAATAGGTAGAAAACATTAAAAGCTAGAACAGACGAAATCATGTAGCGTTCAATTTAATATCAGTAAACGTGTCCCCCTATGCTGCTGCGCCCTAATTCTATTTTTATATTATTTTTTTTGTTGTTTTTAAGTATCAGGACGAAACGATGCCTTTAGCCTACTGTAAATGCAGTGGCCGCACTGAGCCTTGGCCATAAAAATGGACAAAATCTGCCTCAAGTTTATGGTTTATTCGCTTTCCGATTCCCTACTGGAAATTTCTTAGCCGGAGCAACGGCTAGGAACGAGTCCTACACTCGAAGCCCTATTATATAGACCGAACGGCTTCAGAACCCCTATATAGTGCGCATCATGCGTCTCATATTATCTACTGTCTGTACTGAAGCAAAGCAGGACTAATTTGGCAATAAAATCGTGTAATATTTACATGTCACAGCTCTCTCTCTCTCTCTCTCTCTCTAATACATATTTAGACAAGTGTAAAGGCGAAAACAAATGTTTATACATACCGTATAACTAAACGTTTTGTCATGTTGTTTGGTACTGATGCCATTCACTTCCTTATGAAGAACAATCTAGGCAAAATCATTGTTTTATGAAAATTGTAAAAGGAAATCTTCATCAAAGCAGATATCGTTTAACCTATTCCAAGACAAAAAATCATACCGTTTATAAACCAAATTAGATATTTAGGGGATTATGTGACCTTAGCGTATTTTAGTTTGGCCATTTGGAGACATATTGTGCCTGTGCCGCTCAGGGGTGAAAAATTTGTTTTCTGCATCATTAACAGGCAACTGACAAAGAAGGATAAACTAAAGAAACTCTCGTTGCCCTAATGCACCATGCCAACTTGATGTAACATTACAGCGAAGGCAGCGCGTAATTGCGTTGCAAGCGTCTGCCCGGCTTTGCTTAAAATTCGTTCCTAGATGATCTAGTGTAACGGGCGTTTTATTGCCTTTTTCAATGCTAAGCTAACCTAAAATACTGGGTTTTGTAAACGGTACGATCTGACTGTGTTTGTTAATTATGCGAAAGACATATTTGAAATAAACTAATGTCAAGTATTGCAAGCAATTTGAAGTAGATACCACTGGCTAAAATTACCACATTTATTCCGTTTAACGGTAGTATAGAAGTATACGAAACACGTCTATTTATCTTCTGGTACAAGATTCAATGATTTGAAAAAAAAACGTTGACCTTTACCGCTCGAATTTTTTTCGAAGCTATTCCTCGTGCGGCATTCTAAATACAGCCTTTACTCTAGTACAGTTTAGAATCGTTGAAGCATAATCGAAAACTGCGATCCTTAACTAACAAGTAACGGTACGTACTCTCAAGTGATTAGGTGATCAACTGAACAATAAATACGTTTTCACGAGATGATTGATTATTGTACGGAATGATCTGTGCGAAAATATTACGCATCTTCTTTCTTCTACGAAGAAACCTCTGACCTAAAGTTGTCATAGGAAAACAACCGAAAGGTACGCAAACTGTGCGGTAAGGCAGGCTTCGTCCTATGCGTCCATCTTTCTCTATGTTTTGTACTTTACGTCCGGTATCGTCGTTCGGCATTTTATCAGAGGGCTGACTTCCGACACGGAACCATATTATTCTAAATCGTTCAGTTACCCTAGTAAATGCTGAACGTAACTTAGGGCATATACGTTACGAATCTAAAAACGTTTGTAGCTTTCCATTTTGTAAATATTCGTCATTTCATGACATCATTGGATTTTTCTTACTGTTTCATATCTTCACATGCAGGTCCTAAAGGTACCGTGTCCTCCGACTATTGCTTTAACAGTTTTAAAGATGATCTGATCATAAAACAAACGAAAAAAGCTTAATCTTTATGTTCTATTTGAAACTCCGTTCGCTGGTGGCAATACTGTTCCGTTCAGAATGACGACTGATTTCTTCGGAAAGGTTCAGAAAATGTGAAAAAAATGGCGTATCTCAGAGCCTACTGGCTTGTTTTAAATAGTAGTATCATTCGCTCATCTGCTAAGGTTCACGTTATCTAAAATCATTGAATGACCCATCGTATTATCGAACGTAATTGCGTCGTAAGCTATGCAATTAGTTCTTCACCTCAGAAAAGCATAAAATTAACTTCCAGAAGCGTTCGTCCATTTATATGTGCTTAGCTGTTTATTATACTTAAATGAGAAAAAATAAAGCGCGCCCGCGATAATTAAGTGGTGTCCATGTCTACACAGCGTAATGATAGGGAACGGGGTTAACGCATCGTGCCGAGTGAATGCCGGGGGTTACTAACTTGGTCGGTGCATGAATACTGTCAACATGAATTAGAAGTGATTATAATTTGCATCTTAGACGCATTTTCTTATCTGTCGGTTCAAAGAATTGCGGTGTACAAAAGTGATTACTTAAAAACTATTCGACTTACTTTAACCAGTCAGTCATTCCTTGCCTTGTCACCCAGACAAGCGTCTACGGTGCATTTGGTCGGACACGTTTAGAAGCTAACACAAATCTGTCACCTCAATACAAATGCGTGACTTCAACAATAACTTCAGACTACACAATAGGCAAAGGATTTCAGTCGATATCACCTAACCTCTTTGGCTGGTTATTGTAAAGGCCTGGCGATAAACATGTAAAGCTATTCCATCGTTGTAACTATTCTTTACCTTAATACCGCATTTATTTGCCGTATCGTATTTACATGAGTTACGTCTGCTGCCGTGTGTTAGGGTTTAGGTCGTTTTCTGCACTATATTATAATAAGTAAACAATAAGGCAAACACGAAGCCAACATCTATTGTATACACCTAATGATAAAGTGTAGTAATAACAGTGGAAAAAGAAACCGCAACAAGCAACACATAGAGAAATCAAATTATTGTTGCCACGGCCTGAGTAAAAGGCAGTACGCAGCGACTCGTCTATAGATTTTTTATGACCACATTACGTTTCTCAAATAAGATCCAGATTCAGCCATGGGCAATGTCATTATCATTGTACTCCCCATGTCTGCGGCCTGCCGACCCTAACAACTACAGATAGGCTCAAAGAATTACGTGTGGGATTGAGACGATACAGACCAGTCTTCCAATCTTCCCCTTGAGGCCTTTCAATGGTTTTCACTGTTTTAATGCTTCCCGGTTGTCTTTCTTTTTGACCTATTTGAGTCTTAGCTTATTCCTATTACATTATTCATGTTTTGATAGTTGCGAACCGATGTTGCGTTAAAACCGCCAATTGGCTGACGTTTGTGATACCTTTTTTCGGTTGCTTTTAGAATTTTCAATGTAACAACTTACAGGCCAAATCTTGGCCGGCAGTACCAACGAAAGCCATGGGCCTTGCAGAAGCGACCCAGCTCTCAGCGGGTTTTTCGTTTTCAAACAATCCATACAACTATGGGGAATGCAGGCGCAAACAAATGTTAATATCCAAAGGAATTGCATGACTGGAACTCGAGTAGAGAAGATGAATCGGACGTCGGGGCCTTCTCTTGGTATTGCCGACATTTTCCTTTCGTGTCTATCATGCCACCGGATTGTTTTGTTAAGCTAAAAAATTAGTTAAGCTCAACTACGCCATGAATAGCGGTACAATGGCCAATAGAAAGGCCTTTTTCTCGTCCTGTGCGTGTCCAAATACTTCATCACGCTGGCTACAAGAGCGGTTGATTTTAGATAGTAAGACTACTACATCAAGCCGCGGTACACCCTTACGATCGGCTCTAGTATTCTCCATACCCTTGATGTGCCGTGTGTTCTACTGCAAGCGCCAATCTTTTTGCGTTGTAATAATAATCCCCCATCTCTCCCTTGCCCTACTGCAATTTAGCAAGCCCTTTTCTATATGTAAAACTGCGCGAAGCAAAGAGCCCAAAGCCATTTATTGGGTATCGATTGTGCCAATTTTTGCCTCTTGTTTATTTGCTATGAACTAGTTTCTCTGGCAGTAACGATACAAGTCAGCACAACGCGGCTAGACTCGGCTATCTTCTCCGATATGGAGACGAATATAGCGAGTAAAAGTAGGCTGATACCGATAAGTGGCTGTGTTGACTATTGGACAAATAGAAGAACGATCCTGAAAGTGTGCTAAAAGCAAGACACAAAAGGTGGAATGGGCAGAAATTAAATGACGCTAAAAACACAGAACAGAATAGATACAGTCGCCGTTACGTCGCGAAAATTCAATTGTTATGTTTCAATTTAGAGATCACTTAGTTCTGCTGCACAAAAGTACATTAAATTTTGATGTTCTTTCAATTTTCGATTTTGGAAGGAATCGCGGTACGGGAAAATAAAAATTTCCTTTAACGTATAGGATTTCGCTGATACGGTGAAGTCGTACGATGAAGGCAGAAATCTATAGTTATAGCCTGATGCACAGGATACATAAAGTTCTGTGTAGTTAAGTCTCGAAAGAACAAAAGCAGTATGTTTGTTCTTTGCGAAGACCCATTGCGCCGTCTTTAGGCAACTTAGTTAATCTTAAAGAAAATGCTAAAAGCAAAGTTAGAAATCTCATCGAGCAAACTTGCTTATTGAAATATAGAGTAATGTGACGATTGTACCTGGTGTAAAATCGAAGAAGTAAGTTCAGATGACCAAAATCTGTCTAGAATCTGACTAGTTTCAAATTCAGTGGCAAGCAAAATTATGAGCAACGTTGAACCTGTTTACCTTATGTACTACATGATCTGGCCTATATAAAAATATTATATTTTCAATAATTTTTTTTGTACGCGCAAAAATTATTGAAAATACGACACAAAATAGTTAGCTTGTGCTATTTCAGTAGCGCTTGTTACCGCTAAGTGACTGTACATCTTGCACGAAAGGCCCAAAGCAACTTGCTGGTACGTAGAATCTTAAAAATATAAATTTCTATTTTTGAACCCACATTTAAGTTGTGTGTTTGCTTTTATGGCTTGAACGTCACATTATTTCAGTAAGTGGTACTATGTAGCAGCAGGCAAAATTGCACCGATAAACCTTAATAGATTCTTTCTGCGGGGGTTGGGTGGTGGCAAAATCTCACTTCAAGATGCACTAGCAATAGTTCAAATGTCACATCCGTACACAGGGAATGGTAGTACAGCTTTACCAGTACTACTGGGGTGGCAGAGACTCTTTGCTTCCATGCAGAAATGAGGCTAATAAGAGATACAGGCCTTTGTCTTTGCGAATATGACGAGTACAAAGCAATTGCCACCAACATCCGCTTCCGGCAAACTCCAAAAGTCAGCAGCTGTGGATACGCTTTCTGTCCCTGCGGCGCAATGTGTATGTGTCAATATACTTGCGAGTGCGATTTTCTTCCTGTCGTAGCATATCCTCCCGATTTCAACTGGTTGTGAGGTCATTATTAGGTTACTTTGGCCTGGA